AAAAAAAATATGAAGATATTATTAAAGATGATATAGTTGAACTAAAGCGGGATCTTGAATTATTTAAAAATATATTGGATAGTGTTGTTATTCCAAGTTATGTTAGTCAAAGAGGCCGAATCCTAGGCCATCTGATGAATCCGAGTCATCTTTAATATCTTTTTCACGCCCTAGCTCTTTACCAAAATCTTTGATAAGTTTATTTAAAAGAGGCGCTATTGTTTTTTCGAATTCAGAAAACACAATCGGGTCTATAAGCTTCCAAAGATCTACCTTTAAAAGAGACTCGTCTTTTCTGTTATCAAATAAAAATTTGGCAATATTTTCTTTTACAGCAGAATCATGTTTATAAGAAATAGGATAATGCTTCTTCARCCACTTATGGATATTATCAATATGAGATTCTTTATATATTTCTGAAATTAACAACGCAATTAATTCAGTTCTATTAGCCATTATATATCTAGARAAATATAATCATAAAACAAATCCACCAAAGTAGTAATAGTAACGCTTCTGGGGTAAAAAAATTGAGACTTGAAATTTCGGTCGGTGCAGGTGGCTAGCTGTTTTGATTTTAAAAAAGTGAGCCAGTTTCGGCCTATTACCACTACTCTCGATTAATCTATTGATATTTTTTATAATAGACTTTGGTAATTATGATGTACACCAAGGCACCAAAGAGTATATAGCTCATATGATATTCCACGAAGCCCAGGAGGTGTTGACCTATCACAGAATACCATAAAAAAAAGTTGATATAAAAAAATAAGTTGACATGAAAAAATCAGTCTAATCTCAGTAGATTTATGCATGTTTAGTGTTTTATTCATAATGATCTACTAAAGAACTTTATATTAAAATCTGTGTATAATAGGTATTTAATGTTACCTTATAAGATATGTTAGAAATATATTAAAAGGAGTGAAATTAAATAGGTAGTGTAACAAAAATATTACTAAATTATGCTTAATCTCATAGCGAGAAGTCAAAAACCCATGAAATAGATATTAGGATCACTAAACCTTTGAAACAAGATTGGACTATTAAAAGTCAAATAGACACAAAAGAAAACCCCGGGAAGAAAACAATGCAATTAAAGCGGTTTAAGGTGTATTAGTGTATTTTCTATTTTGGAATTGAATTTTTTTTTTAATTCACTCAAAAATGACAATTCACTCCATCAAATTCAGGTTCCATGGGTTTAAACGACTTTTACTATTGTCTGATAAGCACTTATATTTAGTGTATTTTTTTTGCACTATTTAAATTGATCCCTTCTAATTCAGCATGTTGTGAAAATGATTTTATAGACTTTTAAAATTGCAAGAATATTGTAGTAGAGAAATAGAACATTTTGTACTTTTACAAATTTTGCTCTTTGACTAAAATCTGGTATTACAAGGTACTCAGTCAAACGATTTCATTTATTTATTTTTTCAATAATTTTCCTTTTTACTAAGGTACAAATGTTCCATTTTTCTTTTTTTGTAATTATAATGTCTCCAGTCCTTACTTTTACGTTTTGTTATACTCCTAATAAAAAGCTTTAAATTCTCTCTCATTTTGCAATTATTTTGAACGGCATCGTCGAGTTTAGTCCAGTCGCTGGCCTAGGCTTCGGCGACAAAATTTAGAGCAAAGAATAGGGGCCAGCGACTGGACTACGTCGATTTTTCCTGATTTCCGAAAACAAAACTGACGTCATCGTACACCACTCGGAGACCTTTCGTGTTTCGTAGAACAAGGACCATTTCCGGTGTTAAGGGTTCGCCCGAACTGTGACACAAATCCATTCCTGTTTCAACAGATTATTTCCTCAGTCTGTAATATCTCGGAATCAGCATTCATAGAAGTTAGAGAAACTTTACAGTGACAGAACTGACATTGAAGATGGCATAACTGGTGAAACACTTCGTTGAAGAGATCGCCTATAAAGTATCACCCACATATAATATTTGCCGTGACTGTTTACTATGAAGTGCTAATAAATGGAGTACGTATTGGTATTATTGCTGTTGTTGTGCATGTTTTTCGTTGCACAATCAAAGTCTAMAGGTAAGGCAGCATGAGATATCAGCAATTTGGGTTTCCAGTATTGTAGTGCCTTTCCACACGATAACAAATGAGCAAGCAATTCCCTGAATTCCTGCAGTGCAGTTTAACCACACGCAGGCCTGGGACAGCTTTTGTGTTTACAAATGTTGCTATTTTGAACAATTTTAACAGGTTGTTTATCGAACTTTAAGTGAAAATCACTGAAATTTACAAAGTTTGAAATCAACAACATGTCTGGCACGTGATGTCGAGTTCAATTTGTGTTGTAAATAAACTCGTTATATTAATTCAAATATTTGTTGTATCAAAAGGATATTTGTTGCTTTCAGCTGCTTACGGCAATTAAATACTCAAAGGTCTTTCGTTTTCTAATCAAATCTATTTTATTATTATACAAACACGTAAAAACTTGAGATCTTTCAAGATAACCTTCATTGATTTCTTCGTTGTTTCTTCGTTTGTCGTAATCGTTTGGATTCCTCCTGGTATTACTAGTCTTCGCATTCTTAATCAAAGAACAGACAATTTGTGCTATTATTAACTTTCTATAACTGATGTATACTGGTTCCGGGTCAAAATATAGGATCTTTCGCTTTCAAATGCAGTATTTTATTTGCTCTCCCTGCTTTCCACTTGATTGCTTTTCMAAACATCCTTTTGCATAAAATAACGTAATTCWCAACATTTTATAAACAGTGAAACCTTGTGTATTATGTAGAGAACTTCTCGAGTGTTTTATAGCTTATACGCGACATAAATTACAAAGTTTGAAACAGATGGRAAAAAAWWAAMMAAASMAAAAAAACAAAACAAGAAAACGACAACTTAAAGTATATTAATAATATAAAATTAATAAATTTTTAGTAGTCTTGATTTCACTACGTCACCAAACTGAGAAGCTTATTATGCAATTTAAAAACTGAAAGCAAGAGAAATAACGAAAGAAAAAAGCGCAAAAATCAATCAATTCCTAGGTGTGCTTAATAAATTTTGCTTTATAARTTTAWATAAAGACATCATGCAYTTGGACGTTTCGTTRYGTTGGGGCTTGCGACTTAGGTCATCAGAGATTCCTTGAAATTTCCCAGCACGTAAAGGAAGTTCTTGAGTAAAATTAGTCCCAATTTAGGGCAGCAAGTTAAATTTAGAGCATTCAATAATTTAATTATAGCAAAAGAAAGTTCGATAAGCTCGAAAGTGTGTATTATTAGACGTTTATCGAACATCACTCAAACTTGTGAAAACTGAAATCATAAGAATGGAAGTCCTATTTAGGTGTCTTTTCGTTTCTCTGTTGTGATATCAGTTTCTTGTCTAAAGGAATATTAAACAAGTCAAATGGTTTCACTTTGGTTTATTGTAAGGGTTTTGTGGCCGAAATGTTGGGTGTGTTCCGTCCTCAAATTGTTTACTATTCGAGCGATATGGTACTTGTGCTGATACTCTGCGAACAGAGGTTCTTTTCTCACCYGCCGAGAAGCGAGAGAAAAATAATTTATTTATTTATTATTTATAAATTATTATAAGTTATTTTTCTCTCGCTTCTCGGCGGGTGAGAAAAGAACCTCTGTTCGCAGAGTATTGTGCTGAGGGGGTCGCCTCCCAAGGTCAATATAAAGCTTACAAACAGCAATTGTATCCATCAAACAAANATTATAGTTATTACTTAAGTCATTTGATCATTCATTATTTTTTTGGTCCATTTATTTGTTTGTTTGATTATTATCCTCTGAGTCCATTTCGTCAATTAATTAATTAATCAAATCAAATTATTTATTCTGAAAATTAGTCATTCATTCAAACAAATCATTCCTTATTCATTCAATCATTTAATCAACTAAGGAATCAATCAGTCAGTCAACTAATCAATCAACAATTCAATCAATTAATCAATCGACAATGCAATCAAATCAAAAGTGTCAGTCAATCAATCAATCAATAAGTCAATCAATCAACAACAATTCAGTTAAGCAATCAAAAGTCAATCAACAATTCAATCAATTAATCAATCAACGATGCAATCAAATCAATAAATGTGTTAGTCAGTCAATTAGTCAGTCAATCAATCAACAATTCAATCAATCAGTCAGCCAGTCAATCAATCAATCAATTAATTGATCAATCAAATAACAATTTATTTAAGCCATCAACAGTCAATCAATCAACAATTCAATCAACCAATAATTATCATGATTCCATGTATGAAACATTGAAATTCCAACTTTTTCTTCAAGGTGTATTTGTACTTTATGAATTCTCACCCATGATGGTCCAATATACAG